GATAAAATCTGTATTTGACGATCTTTGAAAGCACGTGATCGTAAAAATTTTATTGCATTTTTGATTGTAAATTTTTTCTCAAAATTGTCGTTGTAGCACAAAAAGTTCAGTGACTAAGTGACTTGCACCATATTAGAAATGCAATGAAAAATCACCAAATTTAGAAAGATTGTCTCCAATAAGTCAATCACAGTGTGGGTCAAACCCTATATCAAACCGTGATCTTTGTTTTCTTTTTATTATTATAAAATTAAAATCATTGATTATTAATTGTAGAAATCTCAAATCATTAGTTTTTTCTCCAAAATAGATTTTAATCATTACCAACTGTTAACTGTGTTAAATATTCATTAAATTGATGAAGACTTGTACCTATAAAAAAAAATTATATATATATATATATGTAGTAAATAAAATCGAGATAAATGGATAAACTTATATTTATATATAATATATCTTAAGAGTGTGTTACTTCTTCATTTAATTTCTTCATTTCTTAAATTAAGTTGTATTGATAAATTATTACACTTATCAAGTGTTTTTGAGATCTCATCTCTTCTTTCTTAAACTTTTGGTACCCAAAATTGTTAATCCATTATTACAAACAATGATATTATAAAAATATTACATAATAGGAGTATAAATTTATTTACATATTCTTTGATTTTTTTGTTTAAATCATCTAATGCTTCTGACAATTTTTTGTTTTCTTTTTTTTCTTCAGATAATTAATTAAGTTTTTGCCTTGAATTATTATTATCATTATGATGGTATTTTTAATATATTTATATATACAATATTAATATTATTTTTTATCACATAATAATACATAGGTACCAATTCAATGACATTCTTATTCTGTTGATCTAATGATTGCCTTAAATTTCCAATGATTATTGATTCATTTATGGACATGGATGTGGTACCAGCAATAGAAAAATTTGCAACATTAGATGTATAGTCAGTTGCAGGAACAGTTGAAATAGGAGATGAAAACCCATTTACAATTACGGGAACAGTTGGAGTATCCACATATTAATGCATTAAAAAACCATTTAAAAAAGATTACCAGGTGTTAAATGATTGTATTAATCACACTAGCATCAATTAACTAATTGGAGTGGCTGGTGGGTGGCTCATAGGCCTAATAGATGTTCCTGTGTCATTAGGAGCACTTCTTGATGTGAAACTATTTTGTAACTTCAGCTGTAAGTATGTTACTATTATTATCATTATTTGATTCAACTGGTAGATTGTCATACCTTTGTTGTAAGGATTTCAGTATCTTTATTAAATATTTATATAATGCATTATTATAGAATAATATTATAAAATATTGTTCAGAAAATATATTTTGAATTACCTGAAGACATTTTTGCTCTAGTTCATTGGTCTTGCTTTTGTAGCTAGAATTTCATCTTTATGAATTGATAATTTATATATATGATTTAGAATAAATAATGTGACAGAAGAAAATCAATATTTGTAATATAAATACTAATTGGTTACATCAAACTCATTTTCTAACATTTGCGTATTGTTATTTTCCTCGAATAATTGTCTTTTTACTTTTTCATATTGGTTCTTGATGTTAATTTTGCCAGATCGAGGTGTATTGGTATTGTCCTCCAATTCTTTTTTTTTTTTCTTGAAGTTCATGAATTTCTCCGAGTTGTCTTTTCACTTGTGGAGAAAAATAATTAATCTTATCCTCTGCAACTCTATGATCATTATCCCTCTCTTTTTTAAAATCATCAATTTCTCTATCCTAATTATAATATTATTATTAGTTTAGGTTTAGGAGAAATATTTATTCTAATATGAACATATAAGAATTTGATAAAAGGAAATCTTTATTTATACAGATTTCTTTGGATTTATTGTTCATGTTATCTTTTTAAACAATTTTATTATTATTGTTCGCATTCATCTTTTTATTTGGAAATTTGGATAAAATATAATTGAACAATTTTATTATCACCTTTTTTTAAATTCGTTATAACGCGATTAGTACTTACTATTACTATTTGAACGGATAGTAATATTCGGCCTGATAAAAATTCATTAATACTAAAAGAGATCCATTATAAAATGTATTACTATTATGAATCCTACTTAGTAATATCCATTTATTTAAATTATTATTATAGCAATATTCATGCCCGGATCCAAGCTCCAGTAAAAAAAATTAATAAAATAAGAATCTATAAAGTTTAATTGTATTTAAGATAAGTAAGTATCTTGACCCACGGTTTCTTTCCAAAAAGATTGCGAATTAAACCATTTCAATAACGGCGATATTCTAAATTATAACGGTATTTATTAAATAGGAATGATTGTAATATATTATTTTCCTATTGTTAAGAAATGTCACGACCATTATTGCGTGTAGATATATTTCCGGCGCAGAAAGGACGGAACTTGATTTAGCAAATTCGATAAATGCTCAAATGTGTTTTTATTAATACAAGGTACTGCTACTTTCTTTTTACTTTGGAAAAAAATTTATATTCTTAATTGACGAGAAATTAAAAATTTTATTATTAATAATTAAACATTTAAATAAACATTTATTTATAATTCTTCCCATTTTATCCAACTATTGAAATGATTGGTTTCATTATTTTGTTGTTGTTGTTGTTGTTGTTGTTGTTGTTGTTGTTGTTGTTGTTGTTGTTGAATTCCTAAATAAACATTACTACGATTGTTATTAGCAGTACATCTTTCACCACTATTAAACGACCGATTTATCATTAATGAATCTATTGAAGCGATTGGATGACTCCCATCTTTTTCTTTACTTTTAATATTGACGATATTATTATTATCATTTATCATAGTGGTTGTGTTAGTGGATGAAGATGGTTTTTGTATATTTACGGAAGATGAATCTGACAATAAAATCGGATCAATTAATGATTGTTGGTGACGTAGTTGGTGATGATGTAGTCGTAGATGATGCAATTGGTGATGATGTTGCAGCTGGTGATGATGATCAAAAGGAATCATTTCATGGTAAGAAGAAGACATTTGGTTATTATTGTTGTTGTTGTGTATACGTATTGGAATTGTTGAATTGTCATTATTACTAATGCCATTGCTAATATTATTACTAGTCGCATTATCACCATCATTATCACCACCATCATTAACATTATGATTATTACAACGATAATTTTGTGATGGCGGTGTAAAATCGGTTGAAAGAATAATGGAAGGTTTCGTGGTTAAAGTTTCGTTAACGATATTATTAAAATTGGTTTGGTAATTTAAAATTGAATTAAATTCTTCACCAACATTATTGTTATTTTCGTTGTTAAATCTTTGAACATGTGGCATAATTGTTAATTGTGGTAAGCATGTTAAATTGTTATTATTGTTATTATTACTGATGATGTTATTGCTAATAATGTTATTTCTAATATTGCTGTTGGGAGGGGAGGAAATATAAGGTCGTGAAGATTGGGTGCCAGAAGGATGAAAAGAAGAAGAGGAAGAAGAAGAAGAAATATTGGGTGCTTCAATTAATAATAAATCATTGGAAGATGAAGAAGAATCATAAATATGTTGAATACTACTACTACTACTATTATTATTATTATTACTATTATGATTATTATTATGATTATAATCATTATTATAATAATAATAATTATTATTATTATAATTGTTATTATTTCTTTTATAATTCCTTTTTTTCCTAATCAAATTTACTTTATCATTTAATTCCTTATTATCATTATCATCTTCATCCTCACCCCCGCTAATACCAATCATAATAGCTTCATCATCATCATCATTAGTATTATTATTATTATTATTATTAGTATTATTGTTATTATTAGCATTACTAATATGTAAATTCTTTCTTGGTCTATAAACATAACCTGGGTACATTTCTAAATGTAAAATTTTAGCAATTGATTGCAATTTACTATATTTTGTTTTTGTTTCTTCTGTTGCTTCGAACCACAATTTGCCAGAAGTTGTTGAAATTTGCGGAACTTTTAGATTCAAGGAACTTAAGTAGAAATGAACCGAGTTTCTAAATAAAAAAAATGCATTTGGTGGGCGCGGCGGATCATTTTTTTTGGTTTTACGAGATAATTTTGATTTACGTGAATTTTCTAACAGCCGTTTTATAAAGTTGGTATCAGGAAATGGAATTTGTTCTGCAGTTAACGAAGATAGAAAATTTAAAGAATTTTGTTGATCGATTGTCAGAGAAGACGAAGTCGAAGATGACGAAGATGATAATGAAGGAGATGATAATGATGGTAAATTATTGTTAAGGTTAATATGAATAGTATTATGTTTATCTTGAGCTGTAATTGATGATTCATAAGGAGAAATAAATTGTTGATAACTTAAATTATTTGATAATGAATCATTATTATTATTACTACTATTATTGTTGTTGATTGTTGACGACGACGTTGTTGTTATTGCTGATGATTTATTAATTACCTTGGGCATTTTAATTATTGATTATTATTATTGACTAACTTTTTATTATCGCTGTTTATTATTGTTGTTGTTGGTGTTGTTATTATTATTATTATATTATTATTTGGTAAGAATTTTCAAAAAAAAAATTTTTTAAAAAATAAAATAAAATGAGCGAACAATTTATATAATGAACGAGATGAATTTATGATATTAAAAAGCACGTGTTTTAAATAATAATAATAATAATAAATAAATAGAAGCAACAGTAATAGTAATAATAGTAAAATTCAAACTAAATCACATTCGGAGACATGAACAAAAGGAACGTAATTCTTATTAACATTCATCAAAGAAATAATCAGTACCAATTATATACATTTTGAAATAAAATTTAAAAAGGAGTTTTTATTAAAATTAATTGTAAGAAGGGCTTTTTTTTACTCTTAAAAAATATTCGATAAATTTAGAAACTAAAATTTTTAGTAAAAGTGAATGATGAATTATTGCTGTTATTGTGATTGGTTGATTTCTAGCCGACTAATCTTTGAATATTTTTTTTTGGATTTGAATTATTTATTTATTATATGAGGGAAAAAAATCATCATCATTATTGATTGATTAATTAATTAAATTTTTTTAAAAAATATTCTTTGACAAATAACAAAGTATTTTGTTTTTTACTTTACAACTTTATTTAGAAAAAATTACTAAATATCCAAAACAATTGGCGATAAACAACAATGGTAAAAGAAAAAATCAATTTTATTTTTTAAAAAAGAATTTCTTCAATCTGAAAAATATTAAAATTCTTTTATTGTTCATATTATTATGGATTTTATTCCTAAAATTTGAGGAGGAAAATTTTATTAAAAATAAATAAGTAAAGTGAGACTGTTAAAAATAAATTTTCATGTGTAATCAAATAGGATCGAATGGAATTTATATTCATTTATTTTTAAATGTACTTTGTTTGATAATAAAAATTCACGTGTATTTTATTCTAATCGTTCTCGATTTAGTTTTTCGTCACCTTCGGCACGTAGAACACGACAATGCATATTATATTATATACTATATATTAATATTGAACATTTAAATGCTTTCTTTCGTTAGAGCGACACGTAAATTTATCACAGTTCAGTAGTTGTTTTACGCCATGCAAAGTTATTCGTATATGAATATCATTAAATTTATCAATTAATTATATAAACGTGTTTTAAATATTAAGGATCTTCGCGACAGTCACAACAAGCATTTCAGCCACAGTAAACATTTACGCAGAAATTATATACATAGCAGGGCGCAAAATGCCAACTATGGTGCAAGTCACTTAGTCGCTGAACTTTTTGTGCCATGACGCCAATTTTGAGAAAAAATATTCCAATCAAAAATGCAATAAAAAATTTTTAGTCACGTGTTTTTGAAGATCGCAAACCAACTTAATTTTAATGTCAACATATGCTAAAATAGATAAATTTTTGGTCTTGCGTAGCATGGCATGCATGATTGTGTAATACATAAAAAAGCAATATGTTCTCAAAATTCAGTCAGGATTATTACCAAATTTGGAAATCGAATCTAGAAAAATTGGAACTCCTTTGCCAATCAATTTATATGTGTGGCAAACAAGTTAACGTGATACTTTGCTGCCTTTTGAAAATCTTTTTTAAAAAAAATAAAATAACAATAATAATCGAAATAAACAGAATTAAACTTGCCTTTTCATAATCTACTAAAAATTTACAAAAACCTATTAATTTGTTCAAAGTAAGCCTTCACATAAATTTAAAGAAATTTAAGTGCCAGGAGTTTAAATTTAAGGTTTTTTTTTCTCTTTTGAACTTTAGTAGATAAACACATAAAATGTCAAGATCAATTGCACCTTGCTCATTTGCTGCACTTACTGAGATAAATATGTTAAATGCAATAGAGAATGAAGCAAAAGATAATTTAAAAACTATTTGCTAAGTATTTATTCAAAGTATGCTTTTACAAAATTAAATGTTGCAACAAATTCTCAATAATTTATTCATTTTTATAGTTCCAATCATATTAGAATTATTTACAAGCAATAGTGGAATGAAATTAAAACAATTATAATAGTGAGTGAATGATAAGCAGATAAAGAAGTAATATAATATATATACACACACACATATACAAAATTTGGCATAGAATTTATTTATATCCAAAAAGCTTATGAATTAATTTATAATATACACTCACTAGACAAAAGTCAGGCGCATTTTTAAACAAAAATTGCGCAAAAACATACTTAATAATAATTAAATAGAAAACATTGTTTTGCAACTTAGGTTCACCAAATTATATATGCAAAATTTCACATCTTTAATGTTTTTATTAAACCAATGATTAAAAAAAGAAAATTTCGACCAAAATTTTTTTGACAAAACAGGATCACCAAAATTGACTATTTTTTTTTTCTTCAAAAAAAATGATTGTTGAAAAATATAGTCATACCAAAAAATTTAAAATTCGATAAACAAAGTAAATAATAATATTAATATCTTGTTGGCCATCCACTATTTTCAATGACTGCTTCATCTCTCCTTGGCATACTCTCAATCAATTTAATCAGGACATCATTTGTTAATTTAGGACGGCCACTTCGATTTTTTGTAACGAGATCTCTTCTATCAATGTAATTTTGAATAGTACGAGTCGCTGTTTTCCTATGAACACCAACAATTTTAGTTATTTTGTGGTTTGGTACATTATTTTTATATAGACCGATGATTTCACCATGTTGACTTTCACTTAAGGGTTACATTTTGAGTTTAAAATTTTTCAAAAGAATTGTTCAAAAATTTATTAAAAATGATGTTTGTTTACAAAAAAATTCAAATCAACATAGATACTTATTCAAGACGTTTGTTATCACATGCCAAAAATTCGAGCTTGGTTATTAAATACGATTTTGTTCAATTAAATTTTTTTTTGTCAGAAAAATTTTCGGAAAAATTTTTTTGTCGGATTTTTTATTTTTTTAACTGTTATTTTTTTAGGCATAATAAAAGTTTTAAATTTTGCATGCAAAATTTTGAGAACCTAGGCTACAAAATGATATAAGTTATTTGTGTTTTTATTGTGTGCGTTTTTGCACAATTTTTGTTTAAAAATGCGCCCGACTTTTGTCTAGTGAGTGTATACCCAATAATTAAATGGGGCATGCTGCAACAAAACCAGACAAAGTGAACATTTGTATTACCAAAATTTCAGGGGTCAAAATTTAGTAATGTGATTATTAAAATCACCCATCTGTTATTTTTGTTTTTTCTCAAGTACTATTACTATATATATGAAACTCATTTACATCAAATCTATTATGGGACATATTGTCATTGTGTTCTTAATATCATGACAAATGTTCTTGTAATTGAATGGAAGGAGTGTAAGTTTAAATTTAAACACAAGTATCCCAGATATTTAGATATTTAGACATTTTCAACATTACAGCAAACCAAATAGCCTTGATGAGTATATTTTGACAGTTGAAATGTCTAAATATCTGTTGAAATTATATATTTCAGCTAACAATTCTAATGAAGCTGTAATAAAAC